CACTAACCCAAACTTTTATGTAAGGGCCCTCCTAACCAATCCAGAAATGCCAGAGATAAGACCCTGACAAGACAAGCAGCTAACTTAGAAATGTGTACATAGCTGATGGTGCAGGGGTGAGGGTGTTGGGGCCTGGGATCCTCTACAACAGTCCAGAGAACCAGTCAGGGCATGACAATTCCAGATGTTGATCTGAGAGGGAGTGTTCCTCAAAACACGCTAAGAGAAAGCTCAGGACAAAGATCTATGGGTATCTGTGCCTGGGATCCCTACCTCCTCAGAGGGTAGCTTTCTTTCCCCTGCTTCTTTTCTTTTTTACAAAGCATTTTTGCTTCCCCTTTTAAACTTGGTTCCTTTAATTTTTCACTGATGCTGAGTTTATGATCCCAGTGAGCTCCTCAGACAGCAGCGCAGCCAAGCTGCTGTGCACACCCCCGGAATCAACAAGAGTCTCCAAGAAGCTAATAATAGGTTAATGTTAATGTTAGCTTCAAGGAAATTATCCATGTTGCACATGTGTAAGTCAAGAGGTACAAATACTTGCCTATTATCAGAGTGATAATCTCTTTGGCTGAGCTTAAGAATAATGGCCTAAAGGATGGGCAGAGCACAGGGAGGGTATCCGTGAATGCTCACCATGGACATCGCTGTCAGTGCTCTGGGCACAGCGCCTGCTGCAGAGAAGATAACCCGTGTCTCTAGGCGTCCACTGCTGGTGTTAGGAACAGTAGAAGTGGTTCCTGTTTCCCATCTTCTTGTGCATTAGTTCCCCACATTACTGGTTAGCCCTTTGTGGCTTTTATGTTGGTCGGCCTTAAGAGCCACATGTTTAGAAGTTTGGAGTGTCTTTGTGACTTTTCTCTACCAGTTTTATTTAACTAAAACAGGCTGCTGCAAAAGGTCATTGATAAAGGAATGTAAAATTGCTAAGAGTTACACTGATTTTGGCAATTATATATTGTGAAGACCTTTTATAAACCAAGAAGTTGCTACTTTTGACAAGATATATTCTAGATATATTACTCAAAGATGTATTTTGCCTTATGCTCTTCTTTACCACTTAATTGAAGGCCAATTACACACCCATATTCTATGTGTTTACACATGCTCCATTGCTTCGTGTCCTTGAGGTTTGGAGAGTGTAATGTGTGAAAGTTAATTGAGTAACCTTCACAAGTGATCCATGAGCCTCTGTAATACGTGATGCTCCTCTGGGGGCTGCTTCAGACACTCACACCTTCTATAGTACAGAGACTTCAGTAAGCTAAGTACTTGTTTTTCCCTGGTCATTGGCTCAAAACACATCCAGTTTCCTATATGCATGGCAAGCTTTCCTTGCTGTGAACTTGGCCTTGGTCTTTATCTGTTTCTATCTAGTAATGAAGGTCATAGTTACCATAAGGGTTTCTTCTCTGCAGATACAGTGCAAGAAAGAGCACAGTTCCTGCTGTTAGGAAATGTCTGATGTTATCTGACTTGTTACTGAGATTTAAAGAAAACAAATCATTTTTCCTTTGAAATTATCTTCTTTAACCAATGTTCTTCTGAGACTAGAGATCAGAATCCCTGGAAGAAAAAAAAACAAAAATTTTTTCTATTTTTTGCAAACTCTTGTAATGCAAATTATGACAAGTAATAAAAGAGTTGTATATGTTGTGTTTGTCATCCATGCATATATTAATTTAGTAATTTTACTGAATAAAAATTCCAGACAAAGGGACTGGGGATACAGCTCAGCAGCACAGCGCCTGCCTGGCATGTACAACGTCATGATTCAATTCCCAGTACCGAAAAGAAAAAATAAATCCAGACAAAGGGTTTGCTTTAAAGACAATGATATGGGGTCAGAAAAGCCAGGATTTAAAGCATGGTTCTGTAATTTACTTGCATTTTGATCTTGGGCAAGTTATATAATTTTTCTGAGATCCATTTACTGTGGTTAAAGTGGGGTTTGTAGAGTTTTCTTCTTATCCAGTTGTCAAGATTTAATAAACTGTGTAAGTACAAACATTGAAATTGCAAAATTTCGCAGATGTTAATGAATCTCACATTTTGCTTTTTTATGCTTTACATTGTATATTTGGGTCAAAAGTGTACAAGACTCACTTCAATTTACAAATGAATCTGACTTAAAAAGGTTCTGACTTATGAACATTCTTCCAGAACAGAACTGGTTTGTAAGTCAAGTATCTATTATATGTCTTCCTCTTCCCTCTTCTGCACCATCTAACTAAAAAATTGTTCAGTGTACATAGAACTATTTAGTGGAGAGCTCAAAGAGACCTTTGAAACCTTCTTACTCATTTTTCTCATTCTATTCCCTCTCATTTTAAAAAATGTGGAGTGTACTAGAACTAATGTGGGAGTCACCACCGTGCTAACTCCTGTGGGACTAGTTTCCCAGAAAACCTAAAAGCAGAGCTCCAAAAACTGTCACTGAGGTCTGCTCAGCACTTTCTTCTGTCCCCTCTCCCTTACCTGTCCCTGGGTCCTGCGTCCTGCATACTGCTTCCTCTTGTTGAGTCTCATGTGCCTCTGCCCATCAGTTGGCCTTTTAATTGGTGCAAGAACCTCACACTTGCAGGTGGCTGAAGGATGGCTGCTCTTATCCTGGATTTTGGAGCTGCCAGGTGGGAGAGCTCATGACCTGTCCTCCTCTAGTACAGAAGGATCAGACATGCAATTCCTCAGAGCATTTCTGCAGGTACATCAGAGTGCAGCTTGTGTTTTCATATATTTGTAGGGAACATACATGCATATATGCATGTATTTCCAGCATGAACTTTTTTTATACTTTTTTGTTCTTTCATAGAATGTAAGATGCATAGCACAGCTGTGGATTTCTCCCCTTTGTTCCTTTGTCTCATGAAAAGAGCCATTTGACTGTAAAAATGAGGCTAGATTTATGGCTGCCAGTCTATTTGAGTGGTAATAAATGTCAGACAGACATTGCTGAGTCATAAACTTGAGGCATTTGAGCCTAACCCACTACATAAATCAACTTACTGCATATTAGCCCCCAATTTCAGAAAGTTGGCTGATTATGGACTTGAAGACCTAGGACCCCAGCTTTCTAAATATGTTTCCCCCTTGGCATTCTATTTTTTCTTCATAGTTCTGGCATTAGAATTCTCTGTTTTTGGTCAGCAATTTACCATAATTAAGGGTTTCTCAACATCGTGGATGCCAGAGAAGCAGGCAAGAAGTTGAGGCAGTGTGTGAGAGAGTCCTGGGGGTTCGAACCTGCTCACTTCTGCTCGGTTTCATGGGAGC